TGATCAGGGGTCCTTCGGCCAGACGGAAGGAAGCGTGGGTGGTTTATGTTTATTGTAATGTCTATTCTGACTTGCCGGTGGAATAGGAACCGGACTGTCGCTCCCCACACCAAAGGTTAACAGGGACCCCCACTTTTCGGCCCTAGGTAACGATGAATGATCCTGAATGATCCTGAATTTAGGGTTTTTTTGTGTTTTTTTTATTTTATTTTTTTGACTGTTTTTTTATTTGGACAAGCTTTCTGTGTGTCAAATTTGATGTCATTTGGAGTATTAGAATTTGTGTTGTGAAGAGTGGTGAAAATTGTGAAAATTTGATGACAGTTTTTTTGCCAAAATTTCCTGAAAATGCACTTCTGGCTTGCTGTTTTGTATGTTTTTTATTTTTGTTTTTTTTTTTTGTTTTTATAATATGTTAGTAAGAAGTGCACTCTATACATCGGTATGAAGTTTGCTTAAAATGGCCTTATGGTTTTCTTATAAATTGAGGCGAAAAATGGGGGTCGGTTAACCTCTTCTCCAGAATGGAAAGGAGCCAGGACCATAAGGTCCTGTTTTAAAAAAAAAAAAAAAAAAAACAAACAAACAAACAAACAAACAAACAAACAAAAAAAACAAAAAAAACTCAACAAGTTACAAAGACAACGTCCCAACCACTGGCGCAGTTTCTTTTCCAGATAAACTGTTGAGATACAGACCTACATTTGAACCCCAATGCAACCAGATGAACAGAATAAGAAAACAGGAAGAACACAAACTGACAGAGCCATTTTGTGAACGACCTGAGGAAGGGAGCAAACTCCGAGCAAGGAAAACAGGACAGGATTTACCTCAATGTAGTATGGAACAGCGAATACCACAAACAGCAGAAAGTAGGCGATAAACAACACGATTGTGAACTTTGTGCTTGTAATCTGGATCCGAGACAACACAGAAATAAGGACAACATTGTTAGTCGGATGAAAAAACTTGGGAGCTTTCCAAAACAGGAATGCTTGACTGCTTCTCTTGACTTGTGGGTGGAAAAGGAACTGGACTGTTGCTCCCCAGAATAGAAGGAGCCTTGTCTTATCAAAAAAGAAAAAAAAAGGAAAAAAACTTTAAAAAATTTTAAAAAGTTTTTAATAAAAACTTTAAAAAGTTAAAAAAAACAAAAAAAGAAAAGCTCGCCTGCTCAGGAACGGGAGAGCTGCAAGAAGAAGGAAAAGATTAAGCTGTGAAAAAACTTCAAAAGAGCCAAAAGAAAGAAAGAGATAAAAACAACAGTTTCAGTGTGCCTCATGCTCTTTCCTCTTTTCTTCATTTTTTCTACGAAGAGCACTCTTTTAATTGATAGATAAATGACAATGTACCATACTTGCAAGCGCACGTTGTGCGGGCGGTTCCTACGTGCGGCGCACGCACCCAGCCGATCCCGTGCGGGGAACGACCCGTCACCCCCCTCAGAAAAAAAAAGGCCGGGGTCAAAACGATGCGTTTGAGGCCCCCTGCCAAAATTATAAGCGAGATGAAAAAAAAAATTACAGGAGTACTGCCTCACCTTGCTCCTCCCCTTCCTCATCCTCCATGTCTCCTCCTCCCTTCTCCTTTTCGTCTCCTCCTCCTCCTCCTCCTCCTCCTCCTCCTCCTCCTGTTCATCCTCCTCCTGCCCTTCCTCATCCTCCTTGTCTCCTCCTCCTCCTCGTACTTCCTCATCTTCCATGCCTCCTCGTCTCCTTCCCTTCCTCGTGTCCTCCCCTTCCTCGCCCTCCATGTCTCCTCCTCCTCCCACTCATCCTCCTCCTCCTGCCCTTCCTCTTTTCCCTCCGTCCATCTCTTCTCCTCCCCCATCTCGACGACTCCTCGTCGTCCTCGCTATCCTCATCGTCCTCCTTGTCCACATCCTCCTCCTCCTCTCCATATCCCCCTCTCCTCGCCATATCCCCATCTTCCTGTCATACGCCCCCCTGCTCCCCCTCCTAAAGAAAGATAAAATAATAAAAATAAAAATAAAAAACCTGCACGATTCCGCGCAGGCACCCCCCGCACGGAACTCAGCATGGAACTCCGCACGAATGTGCCGCTCATGCGGTTGCAAGTATGCAATGTACATAGCAATTTAGGTTGCCTTCCGGTCAGAGTTCCATATCTACAGATATAACTCATTGTTATGCCCTTATGGAAACAGAATTCATATTATCAGCACACACACACACACACACACTCGTTCATCTACAATACTGGAAAAGCACAACGGCAACCACCATTCCACCTGCAATGAGAAATAATGCCAGGGCCCCCATGCCATGTGGTTGGGCAGGGAGTGCCTGCACATCCGACTGCGCAACGCACCCCTGTGCTGTAAATGACGAATTAGGAGACATACCCTTAGCAAGGGGCAGCCCATGATAATCCAAAAACTGACACGACTAAAGACTCAAGCTGCATTGTCAGCAATCACCCTGGTGAGTTCAGCGACCAAGTGTTCCAAAAGGCTGCTGTGTGTGACATCAAGTCGCCAACCAACACACACACACACACACACACACACACACACACACACACAACTTTGCACACCTGACCACCAGGAGGCGGCAAAACATAGGTCCCACAACCCCCTGAACGCACACAACTCCCATGCATCACCAGAAGCATTACTGTAAATGAACCCTGACAGCTCCGGATCTACAGCCCACATGAATTTCAACTGAAGCTCTGTGTGCATGTAAAAGAGAGGGAGAGGGAGAGGGAGAGACAGAGACAGACACACACACACACAGAGAGAGAGAGAGAGAGAGAGAGAGAGAGAGAGAGAGGCAGACGATGTCACGACCAAGACCAGGCCTGCATAATACTTAACCCATCACATCAGCATGTGAGAATTGGCTAACAATATCCAATTCTCCCGCCTCCATACTCCCCTGAACATACTGCGGCCTCATCACTGTTACATGCCCAGTTGGGCGATGTACATTTAAACCGAGGATCCGCAATGTGATAAAAACGACTGAATGGACAATGCAGTGGAGGTGGAATCTCAACAAGCAATGTGCATTCCTATACATACAAAATGGTGATTTATAGCACAGTGGAAGATTTAGATACAAGTCCTGACCTGACCGGGACTGACTTCTTTCACGTAGTACAAGATAGCGAAGCAGAATGCTAGAATACTAATGACTAGCCCAATCAATGTTTCAACGCAGACCAAACATACATCATGCTCATCACAAGGTGTGAAGGGGCCTGGCGCTATACACAGGAAAGAAGCGCCAGGTCCACACATACACAGACGAAGAGGAGGGGATCAGACAAAGAAGAGGAAGGCGGAGATGGGGAAGTCGTCAACACCAAGTCTCGTCACAAGTCCCAAATAATCCCTCTTCAAAATGTCTGCAGTCCAATGTCGAGTCTGGATCCAAAGGTCACCAAACTCTCTCTCTCTCTCTCTCTCTCTCTCTCTCTCTCTCTCTCTCTCTCTCTCT